TCGTTATGTCGATATAACGAGAAAATTAAGTCATTATAACGAGAAAACAACTCTCGTTATGTCGATATAACGAGAAAATTAAGTCGTTATAATGAGAAAACAAGAAGGGAAAAAAAAAATAATGCATGGCCGCTTAGAACTTCCGTACTAATGGCCCAAGACATTTGCACAGTACTGTACATGCAGTCAGTTCTTATCACAGTATAAACTCCTTCAGGATGATACAAGTCCTGATCACTCTGTCAGGATTTATTCTGTGATAACAAACGGCTGGATGTACATTATCCCTAACATAAAGTAAGTGTAAATTAATGTGACTTGTTGCTTGTCAAAGTAAAAACGCACAAGAGATGGAGACATTGATCATGTGATGCTGGACGACTGTGAGCTGAAGCTGGAATCTGCACTGATTTTACCAGCGTTTTCTAACAATCTGACCAAATTCAAACACTATTACTGATGTAATTAATAAAGCAGGTATTGTTGTATAAAGCTGTGACAGTCTGCTTTTGTTCTCTTTCCTCCTTTGTGTTAAACATTTTAATCAACTTTTTATTCTCAACTTTTGGTGCAATAAAGCTTGATGATAATTTCATAATCTAATAAAAAAATAAAGTATATATTTATTCACATATCAGAGGTAAATGAACATCTCGTTAATATCACAAAGAGATGTTTACTCACCTCAGTTTACAGTTTGAGTCTCGCAGCACATCAATGAGCTGCTGCTTTGAGTCTCCAATCATATTGTTTCTGAGATCAAGCTCTTTAAGAAACACCAGTGCTTTTGTGTTTGTCAAAGACTGAGTTAAAGAAGAAACATCTGTAATGCTACAGCACATTAGACTAGAAAGAGACAGAGATGTAGAGAGATCATCTTAAAAACAAATCATTAATGTGAAGAATTTTAAACAAATATAATGTGAACTCAGACATAAACTCAGACTGGTTTAAGCTGTTGAAGTGATTTTAAGCATTTTTATGTGGATGTTACTGACCTCAATGTCTCCAGTTTACAGTGTGAATTCTTCAGTACGTCACATAAGTGATTCACTCCTGTGTTTTTTATTTTATTCAAACTCAGGTTCAGCTCTCTCAGGTGTGATGGGTTTGATTTCAGAGCTGAAGTCAGGATGAGACACTGTTTCTCTGTAATGCTGCATCTCCACAGACTGAAGACAGAATGAGAAAGAACAATGAATTAGATCTATGATGCATCATGATCAAATGCTATACAACCTCTAATAAACCAGCAAAATCATGGAAACTTAATGATATGAAACAAACCAAGACAGGAGTATTTGAAGATACTAGTTACAATCCAAGTCTGGATTTGTCCTCACTCAACAAGTGCATTTTATTAATGTAGATTAATATATAGGATTAATGTAGACACAATAGAAAAATGAACACTTAAAAGGTCTAAATTCATATTTGTCATGCAAGAAAACCTTATACATTAATAAGTTATTTTAAGTTATTGTAAAGCGTACAATCTCTAAATACACATTTTGAATAAAAGAAGATTCAGTGAAGAGTACCATTAGTCCAGTATAAATGTGACTCAGAATAACCTACTGTCATTTGTTACACTTGTTTTTATTCTGTTTTCACTTCTGTATTGTTTCATAGCAAAGATTAGTCCGATCTCAGCAAATTTAATGCTCTTTTTACTAATATACATACAAACCCATTAACTAATAGTATTGTTGAATCTTTCTTCAAATGGAGGAAAAACAGAAGATGCAGCACTATAAATTATGTGACTTGAGTCTGATGTCTTAAAATAAAGTAGCAATCAACTTTAATCTCACTGTAATTGCTGTTCAGTATAATGATACTAACTCTAGTTTCTCCAGCTTGAATTGTGGGTTCATCAGTAGATCACAGAGGTTTTTCACTCCAGAGTCTCCTAGTTCATTCTCACTGAGTTCCAGCTCTCTCAGGTGTGATGGGTTTGATTCCAGAGCTGAAGTCAGGATGAGATATTGCTTCTCCAATATACTGCATCCACACAGACTGAAGACAGAAAGAGAAAAGACAATGAATCAGATCTATGACATCTTATTGAAGGTGTAGATTATTGTGATAAATGATCTGTGCAGAAAGGCAATATGATTTGTACTATCTAACACGCTGCAGTCTAAAAGTGCTGGGCTCTTTAAGAACGCAAGGCCCATCTTCACTGTCTCATCGCGTGTTTGCTGTGAACACACAGGTGTTATGTTGATGTGATGTGCCGTGTTTGTGACATGAGCTCTGTTAATAAAAGTATCATCAGTGTCACATGTGGCGGGTTACTGTCTTACATTATGAAATGTACAACAGTAGGCATATAGTCTATCATATTGTCTGTAGTTCCCATAATCTGTCTGTAATCCTGTCACTAGTTCTGTGTGCTGGAAACTGTTGATTCTTGTCTTTCATGTTTTTAAAACTATTAAATTTTTAAAATAATTTTCTATTTAAGTTTTTATCTCTTTTGTTTATTGTAGCAGCAGACGCACAATGACAAAGGCCAGAAGATGCAATGCTATGGTATAAACAATGTAAGTTGGGTCTAGTTGTCTTAAGATAAACAGTAAACTTTAATCTCACTGTAACTGCTGTACTGCACAGTTAATGTAACTAACCATAGTTTCTCCAGTTTGCATTGTGGGTTCATCAGTAGATCACAGAGGTGTTTCACTCCAGAGTCTCCTGGTTTATTCCCGCTCAGGTTCAGCTCTCTCAGGTGTGATGGGTTTGATTTCAGAAATGAAGTCAGAGTAGAACAACCTTCATCTGTCATATAACAGTACATTAACCTACATTGGCAGAAAGAGGGAGATCAGAAAATAAGAATAAAATAAAATAAGCCACATACAGATGGCGCCGACGATGATGGCTGCCTCCCTGGCGTGTTCCGCAGTTGTTTTTATGTTTTTGTAAGTTTGTCCTGTCTTTAGTTATATCCCTGCAATCAGTTTCACCAGATACAAATTGCTGGACATTCGGCAGTACACATCACCCGATATTTCACCGGTTTTCGACTATTCTGATGTTTTGCTGGACATTGTAGTCGGGGGTGCAGCGGCGCTGATCAAGTGCTTCAGGACGCGCAGACGGGGGAAGCGAGCCGGCATGCTCGTAAAGCTCAAGCAGCTCGGATTCAGAACACCGTTGCCTAGCATCCATCTGGCAGACAAACTCCTTCTGCTCTCCCGGACAAATAAGGATTTTTACAACTCTGCTGCTCTGTGCTTCACGGAAACTTGGCTGAACGACGCCATTCCAAACAGCGTGTTGAGTCTGCCGGGCTTTCAGCTGTTTAGAGCAGATCGCGACGCAGAATCAACAGGGAAATCGCGCAGCGGCGGGACATGCTTTTACATCAATGAGAGGTGGGGTACAGATGTAACTGTGTTAAAGAAGATGTGCTGTTCAGATCTAGAAGTGCTCTTCATTAACTGTAAGCCTTTCTACTCACCACGGGAGTTTTGCTCATTCATTCTCGTCGGTGTTTACATTCCTCCGCAAGCGCACGTGAGCTCAGCTTTACAGAAACTCGCTGATCAGATCACAGACATTGAACAACAATACGCGGACTCTGCTCTAATCATTCTCGGGGACTTTAATAAAGCCAATCTCTCCTGTGAACTGCCAAAATACAGACAGCACATCACATGTCCCACCAGAGACAGTAATATATTGGATCACTGTTACACCACAATAAAGAATGCATATCACTCTGTTCCACGGGCAGCTTTAGGACTCTCTGATCACTGGTCGGTTCATCTTATACCGGCCTACAGGCAGAAACTGAAATCAGTTAAACCTGTATTAAGGACTGTAAAAAGATGGAATATTTCAGTTTTTCTTTTTTAATAAATCTGCAAAAATGTCAACAATTCTGTGTTTTTCTGTCAATAAGGGGTGCTGTGTGTACATTAATGAGGAAAAAAAATTAACTTAAATGATTTTAGCAAATGGCTGCAATATAACAAAGAGTGAAAAATTTAAGGGGGTCTGAATACTTTCCGTACCCACTGTATGTGCATTACCAGGACTCATTTAACTTACAACAACGACAAACCATGGTTCCCTGCAAAACTCAGACAGCTCTGTCAGGCCAAAGAAGATGCTTACAGGAAGGGGGACAAAGTCTTGTATAAACAGGCTAAATACACACTGGAAAAGGGGATCAGAGTGGCAAAGAGGAATTATTCTGAAAAAATAAAGATTCAATTATCTTCCAGTGACTCAGCATCAGTGTAGAAAAGTCTGAAAGAGATCACCAACTACAAAACACTATCCCCCAGCACTGTGGAGAATCAACAACTGGCAGACGATCTGAATGAGTTCTACTGCAGGTTTGAAAAAACACCCCACACCCGCCCTGAACACCTCTCCACACAACCATTCACACCTCCTGCAACCCCCCTCTCCCCCACACCTGCAATTCAGATCAGCAAAGACTAGGTGCGCCAGGTCTTCCGGAAGCCGAAAAGGAAAAAAGCACCAGGCCCAGATTGTGTTACACCAGTCTGTTTGAAATCTTGTGCTGACCAGCTGGCCCCCATGTTCACACAGATCTTCAACAGATCACTGGAGCTGTGTGAAGTCCCTTCATGCTTCAAACGCTCCACCATCATCCCCATCCCAAAGAAATCCAAAATTACAGGACTAAATGACTACAGGCCTGTGGCTCTAACGTCTGTGATCATGAAGTCTTTTGAAAAACTGGTGCTGGCCCACCTGAAGGACATTACTGGACCCTTGCTGGATCCTCTTCAGTTTGCCTACAGAGCAAACAGGTCTGTGGACGATGCAGTCAACATGGGACTGCATCATGTGCTGCAACATCTAGACAGACCAGGGACTTATGTGAGGATCCTGTTTGTGGACTTTACCTGTCTCGGCCTTTAACACTATCACCCCAAACCTCATCCTGCCCAAACTAACTCAGCTCGACGTGCCCACCTCTGTCTGTCAGTGGATCACCAGCTTCCTGACAGACATGCAGCAGCTAGTGAGGCTAGGGAAATACACATACAGCACTCGTACGATCAGCACTGGAGCTCCTCAGGGCTGTGTTCTCTCGCCACTGCTCTTCTCCCTGTACACCAACGACTGCACCTCTAAAGACCCCTCTGTCAAGCTCCTGAAGTTTGCAGACAACACCACACTCATCGGCCTCATTCAGGATGGTGACGAGTCTGCTTACAGTCAGGAGGTTAAGGAGCAGGCTGTCTGGTGCAGTCTTAACAACCTGGAGCTCAACACGCTCAAAACCGTGGAGATGATCGTGGGCTTCAGGAGAAACCCCCCTGCTCTCCCCCCACTCACCATCATGAACAGCACTGTAACGACAGTGGAGTCATTCAGGTTCATGGGCACCACCATCTCCCAGGACCTGAAGTGGGACATTCACACAGACTCCATTGTGAAAAAGGCCCAGCAGAGGTTGTACTTCCTTCGCCAGCTGAGGAAGTTCAACCTGCCACAGGAGCTGCTGAAACAATTCTACTCTGCCATCATTGAATCTGTCCTCTGCACTTCAATAACTGTCTGGTTCAGCTCAGCAACCAAATCTGACCTCAGAAGACTAAAGAGGGTGTTCCGGACTGCTGAGCAAATCATTGGTACAACCCTCCCCACTCTCCAAGAACTGTACTTATCCAGAGTGAGCAAAAGGTCTGGCAAAATCACTCTGGACCCCTCACATCCAGCACACTCCTTTTTTTAACTTTTGCCATCTGGTCGACGCTACAGAGCTCTGAGCACCAGAATGGCCAGACACAGGAACAGTTTCTTTCCTCAGGCAATCCATCTCATGAACACCTGACAATAATTGTGGAACACACACTATTTATTCACTCATACACTTACTTATCTGACACACATACTTAGTCTACATTTCAATTTGCACATAATATACCTGTACATACAACTGTCTATTGTTATATACCTGTACATACAATTGTCGATTTGTATATTTTTATTCCTTATTTACTTTTTTTCGTTTTTTTTTTTTCTTTCTGTTTTTTTGTTCTGTCACTGTCATTCTGTTGCACTGCGGAAGCTTCTGTAAGGAAAACAAATTCCTCGTATGTGTAAACATACCTGGGAATAAAGCTCATTCTGATTCTGAATCTGATCATTTTCATAAAGATCATCCTGTTTATTTCACCAGATTAGGGATGTTCATTTCAGTTATTTTCCCCTAACCGACAACCAAAGCTGGTTAACTTATCATTAACTGTTAAATGACAAGATTGTGAAATTAGCATTAAATTAAATTAGAATGAATAAGTGTCTGTGACCCATTAGAAACAATAAAATGTGATTTCCAGGGGTTTAGTTTTACATGCGCAAAAAGCAGCATACTGTAAACAACAGAACATGATGATTTATCATCACATCACACACCTGCAGCGCTTCTGTGAATGGAGACAAATAGAATAAAATCATATATACAAAAGCAATAAATACACAAAATATATTTTACTTAAACAATTAACAAAAGAATAGAAAAAAAAAAAGTGTGACAAGTAGACATTTTTGTGACATGTTCCACAAATAGGCTCATGGAAACTGAGACAAAAGAAAGCACATCCTGTTTGTCTTTGTTTTACAAAAGCACAATGCTTTATTTTTGTTGTGATTGGACACAAATAAAAGTAAACCCTTTGTAGTTTCAAATGATGCCTTACTCTTAACTGTATGACCATAAATGATGTATTTAAGTTGTTTCTGCTGTTATAAGGAAATAATTCAAGTGTTTGCGCTGGTGCCTCATGCATACACACAGCATATCAGTTCTAGCATTTTTAACTTGATATTGCAGCCTGTTAATCATCAAAATAAAATAGTCAATCAAACACATACATTTTTTTACACTGCTTAATTTAAATAGTCCGTAGTACAATCTGTGCTGTTCAGTGTGACTGCTGTGCTGTTATGACAAACACATTTTTGCACATGTGATGAAGGATGATGTTTCACATTGATATCTGAACATGAGTGAAGTACAAAGGCTAGTTTACATAATAAATAATAGTTTAGCACCCAAACACATTGTGAATATCCAAGTTTTTGGGATTGCGCCAAATCAGAGATGTAAGGCTACATGAGCCCAACAACAGTTTCTGTTTGAGTTTCACTTCAAATTAATTTGTTTTGGCATGACATTTATAAGCTACTTATATTTTTCATTCTTGTTCTGTTTTGAATGGCGTTAAATTGAAAGTATTTGTTGTGGAGTAAGGAGGAGTAAAATGACCTATAGTTATGTTTATAGCGTTTATAATTTTTGTAAACATTTCACTTTATTTACCGGTATACATTATTTCTGAATGCAGTAATAAAATTACTTATCCGTTTTTATTTTCTCTCTCTAAAAATGTTATATTTTAACTATGCAGCAATTTCTAAAATAACTTCAAAATTTGATTTTTAAAGCTTTTTGATTCTTGTATGTGAATGTTACTGACCTCAATCTCTCCAGTTTACAGTGTGAATTCTTCAGTACGTCACATAAGTGCTTCACTCCTGTGTTTTCTATTTTATTCTCACTGAGTTCCAGTTCTCTCAGGTGTGATGGGTTTGTTTTCAGAGCTGAAGTCAGGATGAGCCACTGTTTCTCTGTAATACTGCATCCACACAGACTGAGGACAGAAAGAGAAAAGCAAAATCATGGAAACTTATAACATATGAATGAACAAACAAATCGAGAGGGTAGCATTTGAGGATACAAGTTACAATTCCAAGTCTGGACCCACCCTCAGTCAACAAATAAGTGAATTTTACCAATGTAAATTAATATATAGAATCAATAAAGTAACAATAGAAAAATTAACAAAATTAAATGGTCTATTTTCACATTTTTAATGCAAGAAAATCAAATCAATCAAATCAACAAATTTTTAAGCCATTTTAGCATGTAGTTTACAATCGCCAAATATACTATACATTTAGTTTAATAAAAGAAAATAGTGAAAAGTATAAGTCCAGTATAAACAATGTAAATTAATATATAGAATCAATATAGTAACAATAGAAAAATTTACTAAATTCAATGGTCTATTTTCACATTTCTAATGCAAGAAAATCATCAAATCAATCAAATCAAATATTTTTTAAGCCATTTTAGAGTGGTTTACAATCGCTAAATATAAAAATATACTAAATACACATTTCCCTTAATAAAAGTTTAGTGAAAAGTACCATTAGTCCAGTGAAATTCTAACTGTCAGAATAATCTACTGTCATTTGTTAGACTGATTTTAGTCTGTTGTCACTTCTGCTTTGTTTCACAGCAAATATGTCAGATGTCAGCAAGTTTCAGCTGTTTCTACAGATACACATACAAACATAGTATTTCTGAATCTTTCTTCAGATGGAGAAATGCCAGAAAGTGCAGAGCTAGAAATGATGTGACATGAACCCAGCGGTCTTAAACTAAACAGTAAACAGCTGTACAGTATAATGATACTTACTTTAGTTTTTCCAGCTTGCATTGTGTGTTCATCAGTAGATCACTGAGGTTTTTCACTCCAGAGTCTCCTAGTTTATTCTGGCTCAGGTTCAGTTCTCTCAGGTGTGATGGGTTTGATTTCAAAGCTGGAGTCAGGATGAGACACTGTTTCTTTGTAATACTACATAAACACAGACTGAAGACAGAAAGAGAAAGAACAATGATCATTTAAAAAAAAAACTTTGATTTTACTTTTCGTTTCCACCCTGTTCTAGCTTGTACTAATCTGAATGATGACTGAAACTTCGTATTATTAGCACTTTCTGTGTTTATTTGCCTCTTTGATGATTTAATTCTTGTATTCCTAAATTGTAAGTTGCTTTGGATAAAAGCATCTGCTATGTGAATAAATGTAAATGTAAATGTAGATCTATGACAATCATCTAATTGAAGAGCTACAGTAGGTATAGATCATTGTGATAAATGATCTGTACAGAAAAGTGTTGGGCTCTTTAAGAACGTAAGGCCCATCTTCACTGTCTCATTAGCCGCATTTCCACTGTCGGGCCAAAAGATGGCGTGCTTGTGCGTGCCAGGGCCAGTCGTGTTTCTACTGTCACTTCCGGGGCTTGATCGTGCCTCGTCGGGGCTTCCTCGGGGGCCAACAGCCAGGTTTTTTTTACTCCAATACATTTCCCCTAAACATATTCGTTACTTACTACAAGTCAGAATTACACAGACTGCAGGAAAGCAGGTTTGACGAATCAGTGGTCTGGCGTTTGCAAGTAAGACTCCTAAAAACACCTTTGCTCATGTGCAAACAAGTGCGCTCACAGTCGCGGATGACAATTTTCCACTCAAGTCGAGTCAGGGGTGTGCGACATAGCACTGTCTGCGATAATATGGATAATATGTGTTGTTGTAATGATGTGTGATCTGACATTATCAAGTAGGCTATATCACCAAATCACACACAGAGTGCACGCACATTGATTTATTAGTCTATTAAAATGCAAAAATTCAGGCATTCTAAATTGTAGATGGCAAAAAAATGCTTCTGTATGCTTTTTATATTTATATAATTTAATAGTTAACTTAATCTATATCACACAAAGAGTACCCTTTTTCTGCAGATATCAGCATGAACACAGTTAATAATCATTTTATACAAGTTCAGTAAAGCAATAAGTGACTTGACATTTTAGACATTATATGAAAATAAACGAAAATAGTTCCAAACAAAGATCACAGCACTGTTTTGCGTTTCTGAGCAATGGACGGTGTTTACTTATTGAATGAATCAGCTTTTTGAATGAATCGGTTGAATCTCAATGATTCACTCATTAAGAGTCGCTTTCTGTCACCTACTGGCGGTTTTCATTTCACATTTCGACTTTTTTTTCATGTTTTAAATTATTTCAAACATCAGTATTCAACGTTTTATGTTAAAAACAAAACATTAGGCCTATTTATGCATCTGTAACTGCCGTTTAAATGCATCCATGTCCCCTCTGAGATACATAAACTGTGTAAATACTATCTAAATGCTATTTCAGATGCACAATTCCAGAAATGTTTTCTTATGTTGGAATGAAAGACACTAAGTCAAGTCAAGTCAAGTCACCTTTATTTATATAGCGCTTTTAACAATACAGATTGTGTAAGCACCGGATGAAGTGCTTTTTATTCTTACCCCAAATTACAAAATGGAAGAAAGAGTTAAAAAATGAACACAATCTTGCTGCTCAAGCTGTGTATGAACATTTTTAATATATTTGCTTCTTTTCCATTTTGCATTTACTTGTACTTTTACTTTCAATACTTAAGTATGTTTAAGATTTAAAAAAAAAACTTTTCGTACTTTAGTACAATAAATATCACATACTTTAAGACTTTTATTCAAGTAATATTCTAAACGGTGACTTCAACTTCTACCAAAGTCATTTTCTGGTAAGGTATCTGTACTTTTACTTGAGTATGGCCTTTAGGTATATTATACACCACTGGAATATTTATAAGCAATGCAATATGCACGCTAGCCATTACCATGTAAACATGGTAAATACTGCCACTTGAAGAAATGTATCTGTCAGTAAGTTTTGTTTCTATATACCTGACTGTCTGATGTTCATATTTAGCTCCACGTATGTCATAAAATGTATCATAATCATAGTTTTTGTTAGGGAGCTCCCTTTACTACTCAGGTTGCATTTTTGATGGAAAATGTATAGAAATTATCATTCTTTCTAAATGTGATGTATACTGTGACTACAAATAAACAGAAACAGACGTGACTGATGTGTGTCCTCTTTCTCTTGTGAGATAATGGTAAATACCACTTTATTTCTCTGTGACTATTTTTCCAATCCTGACAAAATTTTTTATAATAATATGATCAATGTATCACTTATTATTGTAAAACCCCTAAAACATCGATGCTTTTGGATTTAAATCTTTAAGTAAACAACAAAAAATGCAAACAAATGGCCGCTTTTATCAAGTTCGTTTTGTAATCTCGCTAGTTCCAGTGATTTATTTCTTACGATAACTTCTCTTTGTTGGTGAAATGATGGGGTTGCATGACGTTGTTCCAGAGAGACGTGTAAAGGGAGGTTTTAGCAAAGTGCAGCGGAGCTTCTGGCCTGACGGTGGAAACGCAGCGTGATTTTAAGCTCGGTGCTACAGGTCCGAGGCTATTAGCCCCGCCCGGCCCGTTGAAAGCACTGGCTCGCAATGGCCCAACAGTGGAAAAGCGGCTATTGTGTGTTTGCTGTTATCACACATGAGTTATGTTGATGTGATGTCATGTTTGTGACATGAGCTCTGTTAATAAAAGTATCATCAGTTTCACATGTGGCGGGTTACTGTCTTACATTATGAAATTTACAACAGTAGAGATATAGTCTATCATATAGTCTGTAGTTCCCATAATCTGTCTGTAATCCTGTCACTAGTTCTGTGGGCTGGAAACATATCGGTTACATATGTAAGCTTGGTTCCCTGAATAGAGAACGAGATGCTGCGATGGCGTCATCGCTATGGGAACACCTCCGGTGTGACGAATGTCTGAAGCCCTTATACTATCATGCCAATTCATTGGCCAATAGAGTTTAGCACCGCCCCAAACATACGTATGTATGCAGTTATTAGATTTAGGGGGCAATTACTTTTTCACGTAGTGCCAGGCAGGTTTGGACAGCATTTTTCCCTTAATAAATGAAATCATAATTTCAAAACTGCAGTTTGTATTTACTCAGGTTATCTTTGTAAAAAAACAGGAAGGGGGCAAAAACGTTTTCACACCACTGTATATGCATGCTGCGCGCTATTTCATCAGATTTTCCACATGATGAAGGAAGTGCTATCGACGGTACGGAACGGCCAGCATTGCAGCATCTCGTTCCCTATTCAGGGAACTAAGGTTACATATGTAACCGAGATGTTCCCTTTCATTGGTTCACTTCAATGCTGCGATGGCGTCATCGCTATGGGAATGCTATACCATAATGCCTGACGTACCTAAGAAAGCTGGAAGACAGAGGAAAGAGTCTGCTCAAGCGGAAGAGACCACCCGGGTGTCAAGAGCCATCCTCACATCCAGACAAGTAGAACTTGATTAAAGTGCTAGGAGAGGACTAACCTGCCACAGCACAGACATCTCCCATCGAAGGCCCTTTAAAGAGAGCCTGAGAAGAAGCCATTGCTCTTGTAGAATGAGCATGCACCTCTAGAGGCGAAGTCACACCACACGCCTCATAGGCTAGAGGTATTGCCACTATCTGACCCCGCATAGCGGAGAGAAAGCCTCCAACCACTTGCCTAGTGGCCTAGTTAATCGAAGCAGCCTTAGGATTAACTAGGCCTAGGCAGCAGTAAGACTTAACCAGCCTATAGGATTAGTGATCGACCGATATTGATTTTTTATAACCGATACCAATTATTTGCATGTTTATGTGCCCGATAACCGATATGCAGAACCAATATTTACTTACTGTTATAAAGTAAATAAATGACTGCATTAATTAAGTCCATACTTCACTTTGGTTTTTCCTCCTTTCAGTCATCTTAAAAAAAGTGTTGAAAATTAGCAGTCTTTCATGTTCAATTTAATCTTCATATTACAACAATAAAAAAACATTTTATTTAAAGAATCAGCAGCAACACTAATATTAACAATAAGCAAAATAAATGTAGAAGGTCTAATGTTTTCAAATGGAGAAAATAAATAATGGAAAGGAGTCATATCATATTCATTTTAAACTACAGTTTTAGTAGGTTTATAAGCTGTTTAATAGGCTAAAGAGTGAAGAATAATTCACTGGATAATGTTAATTCACTGAATAATATTATCTGGAATATTGAAATATAACAAACAAAACATATTTTGAAACATTTTATTGCATTTCTCAACTGGCATGTTATATCAGAATTATTAATAAAGTTTTTGTCCTTCTAGATCAGCGGAATCAACCCCCCCGCCATGATTCCAGTTCGAAGCGACCGTATATGTTTCATTTAAATGTCATTAAAGTGTACGAGATGTGTATTTATTTACAGATGTATTTATGTCACACTCTAGTAAGTTTTGTCTGTGTGTGAAGACGAAGACGCTGCAGGTGGTGGCGTAGCGCAAATATGTGAATGAATGTTCCGAAGTGAAGTAAACTTCAACGGATTTCCCCTGCTCAGGGAGTAGGAAGCAATAGACACTATGTAGGGATTGTGTCAATGGGAACACAGTTCATGCACAGAGCTCACTTCTAACGAGCTGGTTATCTGAATCAGGTGTGTTAACTAAGAGAGACATGAGTGGTGGGGGCGCGAGGACTGGAAGTGAGAACCGCTGTTCTAGATTATGAAATGCCTGCTGACAGCGCAGTTTATCTATGCATTTACACAGAACTCTACTCAAACTGCGATCGCTCGTGGAGATAATAAATAGTTAATTTCCATAGAGTTGTATCTATTTAGATGTTTATTAGCGAAATAATGGTTATATAGTACATTTTTATACAATTTAGGGTGTTTTAAACAAGAGAATCTTGTTAAAAGTTACATGCGGTGGCCATGCTGGAGCATTTTCTGAGCATCAACCCAGTGAGTGAACAGCAATATGAAAGCGACTTCATGAGACTAATGATGAGCAAATGTACAACAGACAGAGAATTAAATGTAGCGTTTTCATTTCCAACATGC